GTTTATTATTGTTACCTGGCCTGCCTGAGCTAATGTCTGCGTGTTGCTTTCATGGAAATTTAATGCAGTTAAGAAATAAATAAACAGACCCGGATTTACAGTGTCCATTAAGAAATATATTAGGTACTATGAAACAAATAAACATCTAACAGTCTAGGATACATTTATTTCCGTTTCTTGGAGCCCACAGCGGCCAAGCGGTAAAGCCGCTAAAAGCTGGTAGTTTAGTCCGGGGCTCAAATTCCGGCGAAGGGGCTGACTGTATGTCCGCTTTCTTGGTTTTTCTCATGAGTATACGAGCCAGTTTCCCTTAGAAAGGCTTCCACGAAGGTATATCTTCCCTTAAGTATATAACCCTCGACTGTTTTGCCATAATTATATAAACCCAACCGAACTAAATTTTCTGTTTTATGCTTTTAGAAAATACCCGAAAAACACGCAACGCACTGCCGATTAGTCTAGAATACGAAAACGATTCTCTAGGAACTGAATTCATCACGCATGAGTGATGAAGTATGTTTTCAGTATGTATTGCATTAATAAATTCATTATGAACTTATCAAATTCGCATAAACAAAATTTTTTTTATAAGTTCTTGGATTGCAAGTGTATTGGAAATGAGCAAATGCTAGTTTTAAATGTTCCAAAGATACTGAATTATTCAAACTACTGTTAATGTCCTGTATTTTCCCAGAGCACTGTTTCATATGCTATCTACAATCAGTACCCGATTAAACGGTTAATCCGTCCCCGTGTAAACAGGAGATGACCGTTTTGAAATTTTTTAAAAAATGTATATACAGATTTATGCCCAATAAGACAACAGATGGCATAAAATGTCACTCATTATTTCTCTTTTCATGTGGCAAAAAATTCTCCATTTCAAGCCAATTTTGTACAGAACGTTCTCGCTTTTTAAATACATAGTTGCATTATAAACTAGAATAGTTTGGCTTCAAATTCTGTCTCAGCTGCCATAATTTGACTGCCACTTTCTTTCCGCTAAAAGGTTTAACCAGCAACGCCTCGTGTTTGCTAAGCACACAATAATTTCTTTATCTTCTTCGCTGCAGACGATATTTTTCAGATCGAAATAACGCACCATCTTTTTTCTCCTTCTTTTTAGAAACTATTTTACTCTACAGCTTTTCTACCAAGACGACGAAATTAAGGAAAGGCGTAAAAATTAAAGTTAGGATGGGGAAATATATATATAGATATAAAGTCAGCATCACGTGCAATAAATCAAGGCTAACAAATTAATTTGCTTTCCCAGCAACACTCAGGACTGCTCGCGAAGAAAGAAGAGCGCGCTTTAAAACAAAATTAATTTTTCGGGATTGGATGAGTAAAAGTGCTCTGGAAATTCAAGAAAAGTGGTCTAAGTCTGTTCGTTGACCCCATACTAAGTGGAATAAATTGCTACTATCTATGTAGTAATAAAGTTCCGATCGATTCTGTAGCGTTCCGCGAAATTTGTGGAAAGTCAGCTAGGAAATATTATGTAAACCGATGGCTTTATCTGAATAGGAAAAATACAGCATTTTCACGTAACTGAAGTTTCTAAGCGTTTAAAAGAAGTTTCTAATGTGCAATTTTGTTTACAAATTTTTGGGTCTTTTCGAGCTGAAATCAATATTTTCATTTCCTTTCTTAAAATAAATTTTTATTTCCTGGAAATGAGTGAGATATATTTTCATGCAAGTGATATTCACGTCACTTAATACACTTGTTTTTATAAATGTCTATAAAATGTTTCAATCTGCTATGATTTTTTCTTTTTTTGTGTGTCAGAAACTTATTCATCAAAATCTTTCCGAAATTTTTACATTTACGCTACAAGCGTTATGTTGCGTTACGCTACCATGCATTTATAAGCCATCCTACCATTTGTAATTGCTAAAAATAAGAATTTTTATTTATTTTTCAAATTTAATCAATGTGTGACTGCTTAACAAACTGAGTCATTAGAGAGTAATACATGCATTAATTAATAATGTATCGAATTGATAACATGCATAAATATGCGCAACACTATATTTATCTATGAAAGTTATTTCTAATGCCATAAATTTCAAATCCTAGTACAGAAATATGTATTCTTTCCCTTTCCCCGATCGTAGAATAGATATTTGTTGTCTTGTTGTTAACATCAAGTATATTTATTTATTAATTTTTGTAGTTCAATTTTTATTGTACTTTATCTATTTATTTTGCCCCACTGATACCCGAAAAACACGCAATTTTGCCCACTGAAGTTTGCTTGTCTTCGGAATCACCAGTTCTTCTTTTTCAGTTCAAATGATCATTTGGCAATTATTTTATTTTTCGATTTTCACCACAATTATCAATCAAGAATTATGTTTAGAAACTCGCTTTTTCTAATTCCTAGTGCATGCTACACTTATTTTTTTCCAAATAAAATAAGTATTCTCAATTAATTTTATTTGTCTTTGATCTCTTATTTATTTGATTTTCTTCTTTTTGTTTGTTTGTTTTGTCCAAGTAAATATCTTTAGATTATACTTTTACACTGATTTTCTTAGCTTGTTTATCACATATTTATGCATATAGTAAATCTAGTCACCTGAGTTAGATCATGATAAAGTCATATCATGCTGATTAAATCCCCATTTCTGTTCTAGAGCGTCAGATAAATTTATTTAAAAAAAATAAGCTTTTGATTTGAAAAAAAAAATTGTTACAACAAATAATTATATAACAAATATTAGTTTGACAAAGTATATTTCCTAATATAACTCCTCAAATTAAGAATAATGTAGATTGAGTTCCTTTTCTTAGTTTTTATTTTATTTTCATTAATTTTACAATAAATTCCATTATTTTTCTTCAATAAAGGTACTTAAATTTTAATCTTTGTTGGATTACAAAAATTTGATTTAAGGTAACATTATTGAAAAGCAACATATCAGTTTTATTATTATAGAATATTAGTTTATAATATTATTAAAAGAACACCATCAATTATTACAGTTAATTAATATTAAATTGATGCTAATTTTGAAATAAAGCATCGCTTATTATTATTACTCAGAATAATTATTGAAGGAATACCGCAAATTATTAGTGTTATTGAATATTAATAGATGATAATATTGAAAGGACACCGCCAATTATTATTACTATTTAGTATTAATTGATGATGATTAAATTGAGGATAATAAACCAACACTGCCAATTATTATTATAGAATGTCAATTGATAATATTATTGAAAGAGCACTTCCAGTTATTATTATTATTATTATTATTATTATTATTGAATATTAAATCATATTAATATTGAAAGACTATCACCAAAGCATAGAAGCAAATACTTTTCTCTGTAGAATGAGAACTAATATTTCATATTTCATTTACGCATCAATAATACCATTATACGGCTTTCCTTTATATTCTGCTTCCATAAGATTCGTAGCTCTGGACCATTTTATTTCACAACTCTAACAGCATTAACTGACCACAAGAAGGAAACAAATATCATTGTTTGAAGAAGTGAAAATACTTTTGCTTCTAGAGTATATCTATGTAAATTACATTAAGCTTTAGAAACACTTAATTTCAATTAAGACACGGTCTGTCTTCCTTTTGATTGAAAAAGACGATAGATCAGTGTTGTACCAATTCAAGTAATGAAACGCATCCGTTACTGTGCGAAGATTCACCTTGTTGTTCCGATATCTGAGCGAGTAGAGTTTTATGGTGATTTGAGGCTAATGATACAGTCCGATGTTGGTGTATAGTGATTGAAGAGTATAAAATCAGATGTATTGGCTTTAGAGGATTTAATTTTGAAATTCATACATTCAAAGTAGGTCACTTAACTATACCAGCAGTTGATGAATAGCCGATCCATAGTTTTTGAACTATCGTCTTGGCTAGTTCTAACCCACCAGAAACTGCCCACTCTTGGTGACAACAAAATTCAATTTGGAGTTGATTGTATAAGCTCACTGGTGTCAGGGCTATAACCTGACAATATTTAGAAATAATTTCTTGTGAAGTATTCGTATATGAACATGATTGTAGAGTCATTTTGAACTTTTCGATGTTAAGAAATTGAAAATATCCGCAATACCTTCGCTTAGATTTGAAGTCCGGACCTCCCGAATATGCGTCAAGCGTGCTTCCAGTTACACCACGAGGGCATGCGGAAAAGAGTGTAAAATACTTTCTATACTTTTAATAACAGTTAAATATTATCAACTGTTATTCAGACAAGACTGCAAACTTTGCGTTTCCCGAATTCAAATTTCATTTCATATTAATAGTTTCCTCACACGCTGATGATATTAAATTATATCGAAATGAACAGCAGAAGGTAAAAAGGGAAAGATATCAAATAAATACAACTTGAGGAATGTAACGCAATTTGGGTGATTAATTGCTTGAAATAAGAAGAAAGATGGGCCGCAATGCGTGAAAAAGAACTGACACGCCAAAATTTATTGTACCTGTATCCTTAGCCCTAGTTTATGGATTTCTCTATCACAAGGATAATTAGGAAAGTAAATATTTGTCCCGTAATTTGATTCATCACGATATTTCTGATGATGTGTGCTTATGAGCAAACACTCCATTATAAATAATCTACATATTTACGTTGGTGTAAGGGAGGTAAGAAAATGGGTTACTTCTAAAGAAGAAACTAAAGTAAATAGATCTTATATTTCTTTAACAGCATTCACCTTTCTGCTTTCTTCTGTGTCATTTCTCTTGCTGAGGTAAGTCATTACCGAAAATGTTTCTCAGAATTATCAGGCAATACTGTAATTTCTATCCTGACTTACCTTTGGGAGGCTGAAAGTGGGGTTCATTCGCAACGTGAGTAACTGACACTTTTACCAAGGCTGCTCCAACTGATGACACCATAGGTAAGTGGCATAAATTCCCTTTAGGCCTTGTAGCACAAATAAAATGCATGGTTATTTTAAGCGTTTAGATGCGGTATTTAATGTAAACATTATCTCTATTTTATAGGAATGGAGGTTTCAAAGATGACATTTTCACAGAGATTGAGTTACCAGAGATGACAGAAAACGTCACATCAGTAAGACATAATGTAATAAATATGTGTGTCTTCTTAAAGCATGGTTTAAACTTATAAATTTCTCTATTTTCTTGTTGAAGAGCTTTCGGAATTAACATCCTCTCAGCACAGTCAAACTGAATTGGCATGGAATGTTCATCTTAGGTAAATTTCACGTATTTACGTTATATGAGTACATTATGAAATCACTTGTCTATCTTAATTACGTGACAATAATATTTGTGTTTGAACAAATTTTCAGTTATTGATGGAAGTTGTTGCGTGTTATGCGCTAAAGAGGACTTTGAAAACTATATTCAGAGGGTTCATGAAAGTATGGAATTTGAATTAAATTATGATAATGTTTCAGCTTTTACTAGACTGTTCGTTTCCTATTTGGAACTGAGATGAAAGTCAATTTACGAAGATTAAATTCATTTTGTATAATATTATTTGCAGATGATCGATATAAAACGGACTTGTAGAGTAGATTATGTACAACTGCTACTTTAAATTTCATATAAAAGAATGAAGTTTGTTATTACACAGTACACTCAGATAAATATATGAAGTAATCTCTTTAGTTTCTGAAGTTCAAGTAAGAAATCCTAGACTTGGAGAAAAGACTATCCCATTTCGACTCGAAAGAAAACTATCCCATTTCGACTGTTTTAGAAGAAGGTGAGACTAAGATCTGCAAAAGTTTATTGATGCTATAAAGTTCAATGTGAACGAATGATCCAGAAAAATGCACTTTTTTTTGGCCGGTAAAAGAAATTTTCCTCTTTTACAATTCTCTTTTACAATTGAGCTCCAACTACTCGGCCTAAATGAGTCCACAGCTCATCCGGATATTTTGAAACTCCAGATAAGTGGAGTCCGAATAACCGGAACAATGTATTAAAAATATCTTAATTATACATTGGGAATATTTTAAATGCAATTGAAATCCTATTCGGATGTCTCCTCAGTATTTTATTTAATTACGAAAGAATGTGAATTAGTTTTTCGCATCGGCAAATGAAGCGAGCATGAAGTAAAACAGCAGTATGTCAGATATAAATTATCATAAGGATTTAAATTTAGCTAAATTATTGTTCACTAAGTTATATACATATTTTACTATCTTGCACCAACCATTAAATATGAGAAATTACTATTCCCAAGCGGTCTGAGTTATTTTTCAAATGTCTTCGAATTATTTTAAAACATTTCAGGTTTCATTATTTAAAGCATCTAACACAAAAGTAATGGAATTATTATACAATACATTAATATGTTTTAGTATATTGAAGAAATGTAACACTGGGAATTAGAAATGTGTGGGAAGTAATAATACAAACAACTTCCCACATATTTGCAACTAGAAGTTAATGTCAATGCGTGGGATGTGAAAATGTTAACACTTGTTATGAAACAGATAGTGAATCTGTGTAGGCGAAAATTCTGCTTAATACTATAAAAATGTAAATTCTAGGATCTTTTATGTATGTCTATGCATATGGTAATTCGAAGCGGGAAATCATTTCACCGTTCACTGGATCCAATAGCGGAAAGATTTAGATTATCTTAAGATGGTAGATCAAAAGTTGATAAAGTAAAGCTTTTCAAAATTTTGTTTCATTCATTTATGATCTTTATATTGGAGAAGAGCTACGCTTCATATTTTATTTATAAATGTAAAAACTACATTGTTTTGAAGTGATATATTAGGTGTAAATTTTGCCTTGAATGCTAAATTAAGAGGATGCTGTAGTCAAAACAATTACATTTACTAAGAAAGCATTCAAGCATTGGGGTTCTTGAAGGAAAAAATTTCTCATTCCTGCGCAAAATCGGTAAACGTTAATTAAATGGTATTTGAATAGCATTGGCATTTATTTCCGTATAAAGGTAATTATACTCATTACTTACAAAAGGATACATTATGTTCAATATTCCTATTTGGAAACATCTTTTGACATCAGTTTATACTGATCACGAATTTCTAAAATTTAGATACCTTTTAAAATATTGGATAATATACATTTTCATTTATAATTAATTACCTACAATTTCTTTTACTGTAATCATATGCATCCTCCAAAATTAATTTTGTACAGTCGCGCGTGCTCTGCAAAAGTTTTGAAATCTTTTCACAAGCTTCGAAAACTTTTTATGCCTAGGATTTCGTATGAGTAGTCACCGTCTTATTAACGTGAGAAAATTTGCAATAATTGTAATGGTTTTATTACTGCATAGTGATTATAATAAATTTAGTAACGATAATATAAACAACTGTAACAATATGGAAAATCGTATCACCTTCTTAGGACTCTGACCAACCTAATCTCCTGATCTGACACCACACAGACTAAGAAGATGTGTACAGATAGCCTAACACAGCATAGCATTTTCGAAGGGGTATCTGACGTTTATTTCAGCTTTAAGTTTTTGTGCCCAATCAGCGTAGTATCAACTGGATTATATGAAAAGATTAAACAATACTTTTTTTAATTATTTCTAATAGCTTATTTCCTAAGGCCGTAAACGATGACCACTTTATTACGGAGGCACCTAATAAGTGGACCCCTGTTGCCTACTGGGAGGAAACAGAAAATTTACATCCATGTCTTCTCCAAGATTTGAAACCAGGTCCTTCGGTACGGCAGTTTAGTGTCACTAACAGCTTTCCCGTCTGGGCGCACAATGCTATATGATGTTATAATCGTAATAATAATGAACTAACATTACAAATTTAGTCACATGTAGCACAAGCCTTTACATTACACAGGGATTACATTTATGTATGGTTTTTCATAATAATATATTTTACTCAGGGACATCACACGATGCAACACATGATTGGAATGGATATACACTCAATATTTCACGTTAGTATTTCAAAGGCATTAAATGGAACTCAAAATACAAACCACTTAAACAGACTAATAAATTAAATGAAATTAACACATTTGAGTTCTACTTTCGTGTACGTTATTATTTGTAAGCGTTAGAATGCCAAAGAGAACGTAACGGAACGAAGGAAGTGTATGGGATGCATTTTATAGAATCCAACAATACGGGATAAAATATATTTACAGTTGTATATGAAGTAATATTGCCTCGCAAGTATTGTAAGATATTTACAGCACTACATCTACATTATTTATATACGTTATACATTAGTTTTGGGTATGTTGCGAAATAAGAATGCATTACGCAGGAAGTTACATCAAAGGACATATTATGGACATGTGTATAAACGGTACATTTCTTGTTACTGTAGATGAGACATTAAACGTGACTTAAAATAAAAATACATTACGTGTGTGGAAACTACTAAAATAGATAAAAATGAAGCTCTTATGCTGTAGCTTCTAAAAACTATTTAGTGGCGTTTATATATCAGCATGGTATTAACAAGGAAAACTTTACTGGGGCAAAGACGGTCTCACACGAAATGTATACTAATGAAGAGAAAATGCCTAATAAACAACTTTTGCAGATGCGCATAAAATATTACTGCATTACGAGCTGTTTATGGTGCTAAAACTCTACAATGCAGGTAGTATATTAGTGCAATTATGACTAAGTTACATTGAGTGTGAGCTGATATTTGAATATACGAGCAAAATTAGTAGTCTGCTTATACGAATGCGAAATATTACAATAGCATTACTTGTATGAATGATATTATTAGTTGTGAAGTACAATTTAACATTAAATTCTAATTATTCTAATTAGAATTTAATTTCTAATTATCTATTAATCTATATTATTATTTCTACTTAATCTTTTTTAATTTTTATTTAATTTATTAAATTCTAATAATATTCCTTTAGAAAATTCTGATTTGTACTGGGAGGTAGGTGTAATAAATAAAGTTCTTGATTAGGGATTTTCGGACCTAAAAGTTATAATCACGTCAAATATATAACAGATTAAACACCATGCTTTTGCCAACACGCATAAAATGCATGCAAACATTTTAGATGGAAAACCTTTCGGGGGAAACTGCAGTAATATCAGCATACATTGACTTTTGGCACATCCTGTACTAGAACATAATGGAGTCAGTAATATGTAGATATCATGTTCATGCATTTGATTCAAAAAGTTCAAGATGGCCGTTGTAGTCTTTATGATATTAATTAAATAAACTATAAACGCTCCATTAAACATCGATATTCGCTGCCAGATACTTTTCAACTCATTTGTAGTGGATAAATGTAATAAATTAATCTGTGTTAATCTGAAATCTTGGGTGGCATAAAATCTTACCAAATCTCATAAAACCTTGTTTTCGATATTAAAAACATGTAGGCTATGTATGTATGCTGCAGAGGCAGTAGTGATTACCACTTATATAAGTGTGTTTTTGAAATAAATATTAGATATCTCAGTAATCAAGTAAGACCAAAAAAACTAAATGTAAATTTAAGGATCAAACGAGCTGCTTCTCTTTCTTTTTGATGATTCAGATTCTCCTCCTCCTTCAGTTAAATTAAGATTGTTTGCTGTAGAAAAAAAGAGTACTGTTATTTATTTATCGTACAAATTTTGTAAATTGCTGTATGCTTAACTATTAGGACTGAAACTGGATATATGTTCATGACAGTTTTATTCTGTTTCAGATTTAAAAAAAAAAAAAAAAAATCCTGTATATACTACTCTACGCGTTCGTTAGTCTATTTTGTTCTTTATATTTATTTTGCTTTCTATCAAATTGAATTCTTGTTGCATATTTTACATATCCAAATCATCAATTGTTTCATGTCTTTTTCCCTTCTGTCTATAAGTCTTATTTCTCATCGTGTGAAATTTTACTCACAATTATTGAAAACCTGCACTAAAAGAGCCAAAAAAAAATACAGAGGAAAAGAATAAAAACCTCGCACGCGATATCTAGTTCGCGCCATGTTCTGTTGCGTGTATAAACTGAGCAATTATGTGAAGATTTCAAGAGAATAAAGTATCACTGAGCAATAAAAGCTCATAATATGCCATTTTTAAATTGCTGCTTAGCTTTTTTATATCTTGGAACTATGATTCGTAACACACGAACAATTTGTGTCTTTTTTGGAAAACCATGTAAAAGACGGATGGAATTCAATACCATTTCTCATAAAATGATATATATTTGTATTGAGTAATTCTCTAAAGGACTACCAGATGCTAAGGAA